CCTTTGTCTGGCGGTGGGTCCCGGCCCCTTCGCCTCCTTCGCCCTTGAGTCGCGCGCAGCAGCGCGGGCCTGGCTCCCCGGCCGGCGGCGCTGGAAACCCGCCGGGGCCCGGAGGCGCTCTCCCTGGGGCCTCAGCCTCCGCCCGAAGGAGAGGCCTCTCCCCGAAGGGCCCAGCGCCTCGCGGCTTCCCGCGGGCCTCCTTTCCTGCTCCGAGCCCACCGGCCGGTTCCTCCCCTCCCGCCTCGCTTGGGGTTATAAAAGGAATTCATATAAATAACCAGCTCTTCATCTGTTATTGATTTAGCCGTCAATTCAGATCCCGCCGGGAGAGCGTTTGAGCGCAGTTTTAATCTTCAGCAAACTTCCCATTTCTCTTGGGCGGAGGGGAGCGGACGGGCACCCTACGGATGAAAGGGAACCTCGGGGCGGTCCCCGTCTCCTCGCGGGGAGCCCGAGGGACGCCCCGGGCGGTGGAGCGCGGCCCGGCGCCCGGAGCTGCGGGGAGGAAGGGGTGGGGTGGGGGCGACGGCGGAGAAGAAGGGAAACAGGCCCGTTTCGGAGGAAAACGCGTCTTGTGCGGAAAACGAGATGTTAGTCATTCCTCCCACAGTGGAAGGCCGGGGGTGGCGTGGCCCCGTTTCCAGGGGCTCTTTCTTCTCCAGAGAGTGAATCGTGGTCCCTTCTGCTGCTCCCTCTCCTCCCTCAGTTTCTCTCTCTGTGTGTGTGTGTGTGTGTGTGTGTGTGTGTCTGTGTCACTCATTATTAAAAAGAAGTTGACAGACCCGCAATCAGTTGGAAGACGTGAGAGAAATCGAGCCGGGACAGAGAAAACGAAAGTAGCTTCGAACCTGGGATCTCCGCGCTCCCCGCAGACCCGAGGAGCCTCCCGCAGGAGAGGCTGCGTGCTGGGTGCGGTTCTCAGCGTCTGCGCTGAGCTCGCCTTCCAAAAAGCTAGCAGCCACTGAACTTGGTGGTGCCTGGGTGCTAACAACGAAGAGGCGCCGGCTCCTAGACGGCCATTTCCGTGGGAGGCAAAAAGAAGGCTCTTAGCGCCTGAAAGGTGCACGCAGAGGGTTAGGGCTCATAATTATGGTTTCAGCCTTCAACCGCTGTGTGCAGGTTGCCGGGAGAAGGCGACCAGGCGGGAGCTGAAATGTTTCTTTTTCAGTTGCCAAATATGGATGTGTCTAATTTCAAGACCTTCCTAGAGTAGATATTTATAACAGCCTTTCTAACAAGAAAACCTCCACGTGAGCACGCTTTTCTGTAACCAGGCACGTACATATTGACTTGAGAAATAAAAACGGTTTGAATAAATTGATAATATTGAAAGAGAAGTAAAATTTTATTGGAGATGTTTTTGAGGTGGTCTGGTAAAAAAATATCATTTTAGACACAAGGTAGATCCTCATTTAAAGACATCACTATTTATGTTAAAGCCATGGGGAAAGTGGGGAGGGGCGGCAGACGTGGAGAACCTGGAGGTGTCGGAGACCAGAAATGGTGGTGGTTTCTTCATCCATAGGGAACATCATAGTGTTTTGGGTAACAAGATTTTTATAATAAATAAGAACAGTTTCTAGAGGCAACACAAGCTCGGAAAAGAAAACAAATGTATAAAGACTCAGAGGAAATAAGAGAGCTCTGTTTATTTGCATCTCCCTAGGAGTAAAAAGTGATTTTTAAATGCCTGAAGCACTGCTCATGTATCCCAGCTCACAGGCATTTCATCTACAAAAATAATCTCTGTCATATAAATATGTAGCACTTTAAAAGTAGTTATCACTTTCAGAAACATTTTTTTTTTCTTCTTGGACCTTAGAGCTTCACAATTTTTGCATTTGTTAGATGTTTTATAGCTCTGAGAGAGGCCCAATATGTTTGTTCAGACAGTCAAGTTCTTCATCGGGTTCTGAATAAAAGTTCCCACCCATGGCCACATTGATTCAGCCCTTTTCCGGGGATGGAGGAGATGGCCTCAATTCTAGTCCCCTAGACTGGAGGCCAAGGAGAGGGGGTGCATTTATACCATCCACGGATACCTCTGACAATTACAGCCATTTAAATATTTGCATCCAGAGCTGGGGTAATGAAGGAATCCATGAGGACACATTATTTTCAAATTAAAGATTATAAAACCACAAGTCTACAAGGTGTATTAAACACATACAACTACAACAGCAAGTGAAAGACCCGAAGTTGGAAAGATTGTCTTCATTCCAATATCAATACAAACCCTATTTAATAAGGTAGCTGCTTTTAAAGCCATCACAGTACCTCCAGCCTCCTGTTTTTAGACGTTCCCAGTGACCCTTGAGCGCTGCCGCCCAGAGCTGTTTTCACTCGCCTCAGGGCAACTGCTGAGAGGTAATGATTCAATTACCCAATCACAGGATATGAATGACTGCAAACTTTTTGCCCTAATGGATTATGAAGATAATCAGTGCTGGAAACAGGCATATAAAGTGATTAAAAAAACAACAACAACCCTAACGTCAGAATGGCACTTCTGAAATTCATTGTGTGTGGGGGTATTAAAAAATACTTCAAGTCCTTTATACTGGCCTGGAGGGAGAAACAGAACATTAAAAACGTCATAAAAAAATAAACCTAGAAAAGAACAAAATCAATAATAAACAAGTAAGAAACAGAACTACAAAGTCAGGTTGGGTAGCAAAAAGTTTTAGAGCCAGATAAGGGGAAGAGAGAAAAACAATTCACAAAATGTGCCATTACTGGCAGGGGATGGGGGGAATTAAATACATATTCAAGTCTTTCCAAAGGTCTTTGGAGACAACGGAAAGCATTTAAACGCTCTGTGGCCAATCTGGCCCACATCAGGAAACAGTATCTTTGAGCTTGGAGACGATTTTCTTGTCTTTCACTCTCCGGTTCTGAAACCAAATGGTCACTTGTCTTTCGGATAGGTTCGTGGCAGCCGAGATCCGCCGCCGCTTGTCCTTGTTAATGAACTTGTTAATGGCATATTCGTTCTCCAGTTCTTTGAGCTGCAGTTTGGTGTAGGGCACCCTCTTCTTCCTCCCACGTCGGTAGACACACATGTCTGGCTGATTTAGAGCCACATCCCCTGGTATTAAAAAAAAAAGGGGGGGGGGATTAGACCAGAATATCTGGAGCACCCAGCTGTGTGTGTGTATGTTTGGAGGGGCCACAGGGACTAAGGAAAGCCAGGCTGTTTACATTTTATTATTATTTACACAGATATTATTTACATGTTAGTAAAGAAAGATTATTTACACTTCAAAGTGAAGGCCTTGTTGATGGATCATCATGGTTTCTCAAACCGGCATCTTAACAAGCCTGCGATTTTTTTTTATGGTGTGGCCATTGGGGAAGCTCGTAAGGACAGTTTTTGCAAATACCAGTTGTGCACAGACAAACCATACACAGACTTTTTAAAAAATGCAGGCTGTTTTATTTTGATTTCTTGTGTTCCTGTGTTTGAAACTTGTGAGCTTTAGTGGTTACTCTGGGCCATTCATGTCCTTGAAGAGTAGGGCCCAACTCTGTGACACCTCTTTGGGGGGGG